CGGATGCCGCATAGGGTACAAATGATTACGATTCACCACTAATGAATTATCATTTACCTCAAGAAAGAAGACAATTCAGAATTTTCCTTTAGGTTCTTTTGAGTAACAGCTACTACAGATGAACATTGGTGAAATTCTCTGTTAAAAAAATTAATTTATATGAAATGAAGAATAATAATTTAATGAAATGTACACGACTTGCAAAAATATAAATAATAATGTTTGATTACGCATACAAGAATTTATGATTTACCTTGGATACGTTTTACAGTTCAAAGATGCTACATTCTTTGGTGAAACCAGGCAAGGCTTCCTATGGGAGATAGAAGCATTATGTTTATGAGTAATTTCATATCCACATCCTAAGAAATTAATCTTGATAAAAGCTCTAATTTATTGTCCTTGGAAAGTTAGAAACAATATCTCACCTCAACTGACAACACTGTTCTATATTTTGAGTGAAACGTTTTCGCCCTACATGAATCCAACCATTAGGATCTGGATGAGCAGATTTCCTGAAAGGTGGAGGAAACATATCTTGTTTACCGTTGCACAAAAAGAAATTTACCAATTCTTTAATAATTCATGAAATCTCAAAATTACCTTCGGGGTGGATTTCGGCAAATACGAGGGCCATCCAGGAAGTAGATTACGTTTCCGTCTGTGTCCGCTAGGGGCGGGGCTAGCGCGGCCATCTTGGGGTCAGAGCGTTGCGCAGCTCAGTCTGCATCTAGCCGTGCTAGTGAGAGGTTCGTGCTGTGCTCCGTTCAGATACTGTGACGGTTTGAAATGTCTGCGTTAATTGAAAATCCCGCGAGCTGCGAGGTGCGCTCAGTAATAAGGTTTCTGACTGCAAAAAACTGTAAACCGATAGAAATCTATCGGCAGCTTCGTGAAGTGTATGGGGACAACATTATCACTGAAGGTGGAGTGCGTCAGTGGGTCATAAGATTTCAAAATGGCCGAACCAATGTTCACGACGAAGATCGAAGTGGGAGACCCAGCATAGTGACCGCCGAACTTCTCGAAAAAGTCGATGCTAAAGTCCGTGAAAATCGAAATTTCACAATAACGGAACTTTCTTTGAGTTTTCCACAAATTTCGCGAAGTTTGTTGCACGAAATCATCAGCGAAAAGCTTGGTTACCACAAGTTTTGTGCAAGATGGATTCCAAAAATCTTGACAGAGGACCACAAAAATCAGCGAATGGCTGCAGCGTTGAACTTTTTGGACGCTTACCATAAGGATGGTGACTCTTTACTCGATCGCATCGTTACTGGTGACGAAACATGGGGTGAAACATGTGAACTGTGAAACGAAATTGCAATCAATGCAGTGGGGGCACACAAGTTCTCCCCAAAAACCCAAGAAATGCATGCAAACAATGTCGGCAAGGAAGATGATGGCGACTGTTTTTTGGGACAGAAAAGGTGTAATTTTGGTGGACTTCCTGGAAAGAGGCACTACAATAAACTCTCAAAGGTATTGCCAAACTCTCCAAAAACTCAGAAGAGCAATTCAAAACAAGCGCAGAGGAATGTTGAGCTCTAAGATCTTGTTGATTCACGACAACGCCCGGCCCCACACGGCAAATGTCACTCGTAAAGTTCTTGAATCTTTTAAGTGGGAGTTGTTTCCTCATCCGCCGTACAGTCCCGACCTGGCACCGAGCGACTTCCACCTATTCCCAGCAATGAAGAAGTGGCTGGCTATGCAGCGTTTTGATGACGACGCACAGCTGCAAGAAGAGGTAACGAAGTGGTTGAAGGCGCAGGCGGCCGAATTTTTCGACGAAGGAATTTCCAAGCTCGTACATCGCTACGATAAATGCCTTAATTTGTATGGTGACTATGTAGAAAAGTAGTATTTGAGTGTGGCTTTCATCTGTATATAATAAAATTTGTTTCCTATACTTTGTTTATTTTTTATTCCAAAACGTAATCTACTTTCTGGATAGCCCTCGTGAATTGAAACTAACACAACCTTCAGCAGATTTCCTTCATATTTTTAGATTCATGAAATCTCAAAATTACTAAAAAGGAATAACTGTTATGAAAAACGGATGCCGCATAGGGTACAAATGATTACGATTCACCACTAATGAATTATCATTTACCTCAAGAAAGAAGACAATTCAGAATTTTCCTTTAGGTTCTTTTGAGTAACAGCAGCAGATGAACACTGTTGAAATTCTCTGTTTAAAAAATTAATTTATATGCAATGAAGTATAATAAATATCAATTTAGAGCAAAGAGTTCATGAACAAAAATTTATAGATTCTGTAGTACTTCATGCATTTGCATAAAAAAGCTACCTTGTTTGAAGTTGCTGTTCAGTTTCTGAAGGAGCTTTCACATTCAACTGTGATGGCAGTTTCCTGTGGAATAAAATAATTATGATTACACTTTTCTGCATTATTTTGTAAAAAAACAATTTTAGAGCATCAAAGCTAAAGTCAAGCTGTAAAATGCACTGTAAACTATCCTGTATGCTGTTGTTTTTTCCCTTTATTCTGTAGCTTATATATGTTACTGTTTAAATACTATTTTTCCATAAGCAATTTATTAAATAGAACAGCCACACAGTTTTCTGAGGTAAGTTTGACAGCTATGCAAAAATTAAGGCCATGGGGGGATGCGTTTTCTCCCCTCAGCAGTGATGATTCATTAGAAGATGCTCTCTCCTCTGCAGTGACTTTAGGCAATATTTTCAGCAATCAGAAGATTAACTGCCTAGTAGGCTGTATTATTTTCTTAACAAATATTAAATGAGCAGCTGGTAAGTTATAACATATATACATAAACACTAACAATAATGCATATAGTTAATAAACTCAGCCATTTATGACGTTCAGATTTTCAGAAACCAGAAGAAATACATACTAATCACTAGCAAAAATGCCATTTATTAAATTAAGACTGGCAAAGGACTGATTCTTTTGTACCAAAATATCCTACATGTACATATAAAAATTCTCTGTACTTCATCATTCACTTTCAAATTTGCCGTTATCTTAATAGATGCGTCATTTGCAGCATGTTAGAATCATAGGACAAGGACTGATTTCAAAGTGATGCACTTTAAAAAGATTTATTATAAACACACACAAATATTTATCTGATTGTAATTCTTTGTGCATGAAAGTGATCTGTAGTCACAAGGTTAATGTCTTTTAAACAGCTACAGTTTGAAACAAATTGATGTTTATCACCTGTGTAATCCCAACAGAACATATAAGACAAATAAAATTTACTTGCCTAATTTTTTATTGTGAATGGAAAAATTACTTATTTTCCAAGAAAATATCTCAAGCTTGCCACAGAAATAAAGAATTTATTTCAGAGTTTGGCAAAGTGAAATTTAAAAGTGTGTTTATTATCAAGTAGATTACATGCAAATGTGATTTCTTGCATTGTAGCCTTGAAATAACATGGGAATGGATAGCAAGTTAAACTTTTTTTTGCGTGAAACAGAACTTTGCACTGAGTATCTCTAACCATATTTCTACAAACAGAAATAATTTTGCAGTTGAATATGGATTTTTTTTTCTAGTGTTTGAACTTGCATGAGAATAGTTGTGTCATCAACAAAGAAAATTTGAATTTTACAGTGTTGGGAAGAATAATAAGCACATATATAATAAAATAAGGAACTCAGTCTTGGGCCTCTTGTTCTGTAATCTGCCTCTGCACTGAAATGATCCATGACAGATAAAAATTCCTCATTAAAGAAGCCACTACATAAGCCTTTGAGAACATTAGAAATTTGAATGTTATTGACTGGGCGATTACGTTCTCCAGCTGTCACAACTAAATGCAATAGCTGCTTTATCAAGGAAGCATTAAGTTTTTTCAAGAAAACAATATACAATTTGTATTCTTAGGCACTGAATTTTACTTGTCAAATTTCATTACTTTAAAAAGAAAAATGAATAAAGATTTTGATAGTTCAACAGTTGCTTAGTATGATTCAGAAATTCATAGCTTGGCTGACAAACAGATTGCTTAAATATTTAATGCCTTGCTGTAAAAATATTTCTTTGTGTTTGAATTTCGAAGAAGGAAAGAAATTATATATATATATATATATACATACCTCGACAGAGCTGATTCAGCAACAACTTCAGAATACAGAGGAGAGGCTGAAGATGTTAAAAATCGCTATCGCTGCCGCCATCACAGAGAGGAGGAAAATCCAATGAACTTCGAAGCTCTATTTTACTGGTACTTTTGGAACTCTCAGTTAAAAGTTGCGTCAAAACTTGAACAAACAGTGTAGCTAACTGCCGTGTTCCTGCTGCATTCAAATGCAGCCCATCCAGAGCCATGCATCCACTCCAGTCACGAGATGACATGCAGAAGGTTACATTATCCAGCTCTTCACAGAGATCAATCATTTTTTCATCAAACTGAGAACTCTTGTTGTTGACAGAGCGCAGTCGAGGTCGCAATTCGTCTCTCTCATTATAAGTTAAATACTTCGAATCCACTCTGGGCAAAATTCCTGATATGACTACCCGCGCATACGGATTCACTCTACTCACTTCCCGAATTAAACTTTTATATTTTAAGACACTGTCATCCACAGTAGAATCCATATTATTGGTCCCTACATGAAAAAGGATACAATCGTATTCATTAAAGGATGAAATTTTTTTGGTCAACCTTTCTATTGTTATGCCCGGAAACGCGAGAGCATGCAGTTTATTATCATACAGCTGAGACGGTAAATATTGGTACATATATTTAATCATGGAATCACCGGTTATCAGAACCTTCATAGTCGATTACAAGTTATAAAAACTTCAAAATTACAAGCCCGTTACAACACGCCGAACGACCTAATATTAACAATACTACTACGAACAACGACAGATTGAACAAAAGCTTGGCTACTTTTGAACAATGCACTTGGCTCTAAAATTTATTCTGGTAACCTTACATTGCATCAGCGATTTCGAAAGGCATCATGGGAAAAAGTACACATTTTTCGGTAAACTTCCGGTATCAGGGACTCAGTTATCTGTAAAATTCGTTGTTGTAAACATTTATTGCCAGTTTTTACAAGTTGTGTTTCCGCAGTTATTCTTGAATAGAATTTTTTACGCTATTATCATCTTACCGATTTTATTTTAATAAAATGGCATCTAAAGAAAATACAGTGGATGCCGCTAAACCAAATGCTGTAAGTTCCTTGTGTATTTTAATCTTATTCGCGAATTTAAATTTGTCTTCATATAAAAAGAACTAAACCGTGTATAGTTTTGCAGTATATGGTACAGAGTTTTCTACAGGTAGTCTAAATCACTTCAGTTTGCGAAAATTTTTCATAATTCATGACTAGAAGAAATGTTAGATTAGGCTATTCTATCTCTCCGAGACAGAACCGGGACATCTGAATGTCTTTGACGGAACAGGAGTTATTAGTGACAAAGAAAAATGATTGTAATTTGGTTTAATCCTAGTATCCGGTGTAGTAAACGGGTATTCAAAGAATATATATAGTTATACATAGTATCGGTATACTATACATGCATAGACGTTCTCTTTGGTAATTTTTGGTGTTGGCGATAATTTTTAAAACCTCGCCAAGACTGCACCATATACTAGGATTTTACCTATAATTTACTCATTTTTTCATTCATTAACAGAAGTTTACATTCTCTCATTAACAGAACCCATATAAAGATTTAAGTATGCTTTTATTTCGCTAGGATCATATCATGAGTATATCTTCTATTAAACATGAGTTTTAACTTATATAGCAAATTTCGACTTGTCATACTACACAACATATCTTCGTTTCGCAACCAGCACAGCTTCTACTGTCACAGCAATTAACATCTAGATTTTCCTTTTGATAGGTTACTAAACACAATAAAAAATAAGTATTTTTCTGTTATGCACCTAACATCCTTTTTGGCCGTTGTGAAAGAGAATTCAAACACACATTGAGAACTTTAGGATAGTGCTACCTGGGCTATTGTTATGTATTGTGTGTGTGTCTGTCTGTAAATTGTTCTTACAACTAGAAATAGTTTACAGTTAAAAAAAGGCCAATATGCATAGTAGATGCATAACTAAAGAATGTCAAATATATGTATATTGCTAAAGATGCAGTATATTTTGGAAGATAAAAAATTAATACTACAAAAATTGGTATTTTCAGATTATCAGCATTTAATAGACTTTCTATGTTTTGGGCATATTTTTAATGGTACACATGAGAATAGCCAAGCCCCACATGTTCATTTTATGCATGTGTTGGAGTACACATAGACTTACATGCTTTATATGCAACTGCCATTATGCAAATTGGTGATTCTTCCATCTCCTATGTACATTTTGTTATTGATCTTAATGAATTGCAAGGGAAACTGTGGAGTTTACTTGCTTATGAGAAAGAAAGCATAAAATTTCTTCAGAAATAGGAAAATTGTTGTGCCTGTGACCCAATTAAGTATTTTTCACCAGTTTACAAATCACCAATGAATTTGCAAAATTTTTAGAGGTGTGGATAATCAGAAATTACCCAAAAGAATTGAAGGTCTGCATGTGTTTTGTTTATATAAAAATGAGAATTTTGGTGTAGTACTATTCTTTTAATGACTGTCTTAATTTTTTGAGAACCCACTAATCAAGTACAGTTTTCTTCTGTTTATTTGGCTATTATGTTTTTCTCAAACAGTTTGGTTCTCTTTCCATTCGTGTGTCTTTCTTAATTGAACCCATTGCCCTATCTCAGTTGTTATTTTAAACTGGTTTCTTAGAAATTAATAAATACCTCAAAAACCAAAACTTCATTACTTTCTCCTTTATTTACATTTATTTATATAAAACGTCTGAAATCTGGATCTGTAATAATTGGAATAATCTCTTTTCCAGATTCTCATAAATCTTGGAGATGATACAAAAAATATTCCCAATTATAGATAGCTGTTTGGCTCATACTTTATTTAAAGTTTTAATGAAAAATACTGTCTGTGTCTTATGCTTTCCTAGAAACTGTACATCCATCAACTAACCAATGGATTTTGGAATTTTGTGCATTTTAAAATCCCAGTGTAAAGTAGCTTTTTAAAATCAATACCGCTGTAAGACTATCTAAGAGTTCTTGAAATATTTTATATAACATCTGCTGTAATAATTAATATAAGGTCATGAGAGGATAGGTCTCCAGATTTTTTTTTAAAGACACTTGACATAGCCAGTTATCAAATTTCACAATGAATACACAGTGGAATCTCGAGATATGAGTTTAACTCGTTCCAGCATTGAACTCGTATAGCGAATTTCTTGTATCTAGACACAAACTGCCCCATTGAAAATAATAAGAAATCCAGTTAATCCATTTCCCACCCCCAAAAATATCAACATAAAAATAAATTTTTTAATAACGTGGGAAATAATATTACCGTAGTTTACCTTTATGATAGCTTCCGACGCCGACCGTAACTGCTTCTCGTTAATCCACGCCAACAACAGTTTCTTGGAGTTTTGGATGGTGCTTGGAAGTAACGGTAACTCCTTTGCCTACATCAAGTTTCTTAATTTCTTCCTTTTTCTTCAGAATAGTGCAGATTGTCAATGTCGAAAGGCCATAAGTCTTCACCAATTCCATCATTCTTACACCATGCTTATGTTTATCTATGATTTCTTTCTTAATTTCAACGACCATGGCTTCCATGTTTTTCTTTGCAGTACTATCTGAGACAACAGTCTTCTTGGAAGGCATCGTAAAATAATTATTTTCACGTTAAATGTAATAAGCAATTAACTTGCAAGTGCAAAAACAAGTAGATCAAAGAACACTGAGTAATCTGACAAGGGGATTCACCGAGTCAAGCCGGATCGAGAAATGCCGCCACACATACCAAACAACTTGACTCGTTACTCAAGTTGATGCTCATATTTAGAGACAAATTTTTTTCTCATACTTTCCTCGTATCTCGAATTTCTTGTGCATATAGAGGTGCTTATATCTTGAGGTTCCACTTCAGCTGTAAATATGAAGATTTTCAGATCATATCACAATTAAGAAAGGAAATTTTCTGACCAATAGAGTATGTGAAAGGATGACTAATGAAGGTGATATTACTGGTCTTCCATTGTGATAATAGTGCCCTAATCATCAATCAACAGATGACAAAATTAGTAGAAAATATTGCCATTTCAGCGTCAAGTTGTATTTAAATTGCAGGAGATGGTTATTTATTAATTCTTTCTTTCTGTGGAATATATCTTTTGTGAAGAAATAAGACAGACACGTGTTCTTATCTTGGCAAATCCAAGTCGTGAAAATTCATTATACATAGAAAAAAAGCTAAACCATTTGATGTCAAGGAAATATGCCAACAATGAAATACCAAGTGATATCTTTTTGACAAAAAAGAATTGTAAAATTTTCTTATTAATGGAATATGTGGAGAAATAAATGCTAATAACTGAAGTCTTCATTGCAGCGTGTGTGTGTTCCCTTCCCCAATCATCTATCAATTAACGGAGAATGAAATCTGTAGTGGGGTTTCAAATCCAGAAAGCATCACTAGTAGTGAAGGAAGTGATGAAGAAGTTTCTGAAGTAAAAAGGCTTCAGTTGACTATTTAATGGGAATTCTGAACATGACAGTTGCTGATGTGAACTGTAGAACTTTATAACTGAACAGGAAAATATCTCTCCATAAAGTTATAGAGTAGGTTTTAAATGAAATTACTTAGGCAACTTATGTTAATAGAAATATTTAATAAGATAAAATAAATGTTATCATCAAGCTTTATTTCTCATTTTATAATTTCATTACATCATTTTACTATATTTAAATTAATAAGTTCAGAAATTTCCAGACTTGCTGAAATCACAATGACTTTGTAACAAAATATTGTGTATTTCAAGTAAGAAAATATATGTTTAGAATGTAATTGCTCGATTTTTTTTTTTAAATGATGAAGCTAATTTTAAGCAGGATTCTCATGACATTTTTTTTTTTTGGAAGATAACAAGAAATATAACATGTGAAAAAAATTAAAAACAAAGCTCATCAAACATGCTTAAACTTCCAGTACGTGGTTTCAGATTGTGAAAAATAATGCTTACAAGTAAGTATATTTATTGCTCTTTTTTTAAAAGCAAAAGAAAATTTACATTTTTTATCAAAACATTGAAACATCCTGGCAACACTAAAAAAAAATGTACTGTTCTATTCGGAATGGTATGTATGATCAGCCTCTGTTTGATCCAGTAAAAAATCTGCATTAGATGTGTTCTTTTTAAATATGCTTTTTTTAATACATAAACAATATTGTAGAAATTTTAGGAAAAGATGAATTAATATCATGTTAACAATCATTGCAAATATAGATATTTTGAAATTTTTTCACGTAGTACATTAATGAACATCATTTGTATATCGAAAATGAATAAATTTTGTGTGATGAGAAACATTTTTGTATTGATTTGACTCAATAGTTGTAAGTTCTGTAGAAGTAGTAAAAAAGAATGATGGTTGTAAATACTTTCTGGTCACATAAGATTCATAAATAATAAATGTTGATTCAGAATTGTTACATTTCAGGTTTAATGTTATGTTAAGCAAACTGTATGTGAAAACATAAGCTTGCTGTTGACTGTATTGTAAAGAAATATAAATTCTTAAGCAGAAGTTATGTTAAAATTTTTAATATTATAGTTATTTGAAATATTTTCACTATAATTGTAATTTAAAGAAATTCTGTATTTTAATTCATTTCATAATGAATGAATTCTTAAAAATTATGAAATGCAGTCAAACTTGGTTATAATGAGTGCAAAGGGACTGTGTTATTTGCTCGTTATAACGAGTGCTCGTAAAAAACAAATTCGTGAAAAAAATTATAAAAATTCATACATATTTACTTTACTAGATTTATTTCTGTACAGTACAAAAGAAGTTGGTTAATTTGCTTTGAATTGTCTTATTGTCTCTTATGAGAGACAAGACTTCTTCAAAGGAGACTCATTATTCGAAAAACATCATCATTTTCACCCCTGGCTTAAAAAAATGTTTACAGTTTTTCACACTCAAAAGCCGTTGAATATTGTGGGGGTACATGATTTTCAAATTCTTCTCTACTCATTTCCAAATTTTCCAAGTGGTTTCTTCTTCTTCCTCCTCAGTGATTTGCCCCTCTTGAAAAATGTCCAATCAGGCCTTACAGAAGTAACAGGTAATCAACATTTTGATATAACGCTTTCTTATGCATCTTTTATTAAACATATCACTTCGAGTACATTTACATTGGCATTTAAAGCTGTTACTATTTTTTCTCTTCTGTTGAGAAACATCAAACATGAAATGCTCATGAAAGTTTGATTTAAAACTTCTGATGACCTATTGGTCCAATGACTGGATAACACTTGTAGAATTCGGTTGTAAAATTCAATCCTGATGTTTGTAAGTCCAGTGATTTCAGGATACACTTTACAGTTATTAATTAAAAGGAGAATTTTATGCTTTTCTTTCCTCAGATGCCTCTCCCATTTTGAAATTAATTCTGTTAATTCTGTGAGTCATCCAGGCTTTCTTGCTGTGATCATAATCAATGGGAAGCTTTTTAAATTACATTAAAGCTGTCGATTGATTTTTTGAGAGCTGGCCACTAATGCACTTTTCACCCTTGGACTTAGTGAGTTATGTCGTGTCCTCATGCATGCACTTCAAAAGATGCAAAAGGGCCACCATCATATGTTTACAGGATGTATGACTCATCACTAACTTCGGGTTGACTTCAGAATGTTAAAGGAATTTTTCCAACAACGAATTAGCTGAGCTGGAGAGGTGGAAGTCGATGGAAATGTTATGAATTGCAAAAATATTGCTAACTATAACCGGGATTTGCTCATTAAAAGCAAGTTATGCTCCCATTGTTCGAGATTTGCAAGAACTAACCGTTCTCCTTTCTCCTAATAAACTTAAAATAACTTTACATATAAAATTCCAAAACGTCATATTTATTTTCAAAAATTCATAGAACTATAACAAAGATCAGATGGTTGCCTGCTTTATTATGGCCTGAGAATAAATCATTTACTGTAGGCATGAAATGTTCACTCTGGTACCATTTATCTCTTCTACTTTCTTTCTTTGCACCCAAATCAATTAATTTAAATCCAGCTTTTGCCAAAGAAATTCTCTGCTCTCCTTCCACTTCATTCTTTATGAAGAACAATAATAATTGTTCAATTTTTCGGAGTGAGAATTTTCTGCTGTAATTATTGATGCATGGTTTCTAAGCCAAACTCATAAAATTTCCTTGGGAATGCAAGATTCCATGAGCAGAAACAGCATTGCAGCGTATTTATTGCTTGTCATTCCTATTGACTCTAACGAACGTAAATAGGACTCTAACTTGTCATACAATTCTGATATACTGCATTTTCCCTTTTGATCAGTGACATTTTTAATAATCAAACCTAATAATTCCCGAATATACAGGGTGTTTATAAAGTCCTGGACCCATTTTGATGTTTAATAGCTCATAAAATAATAAAGACATAAAAACTTCTTTGAAGGCATTTATTGATGGAATAACTTATATATTTTCCTTTTCAGGTTTGAATATCTTTACTTTTGTAAATGTCGTCTGCTGGTGTGGTTAATTTCAGATAATGTCATTTTCCAATCTAAATATCTGTACTTTTCTAAATATTGTCTGCTTATTAATATCTGAAGCGCATAATGTTCTCCGACGAAGCACCCTTTCACCTTTCTGGCATTGTTAATCACCATAATGTGCGCATATAGGAATCTGAAAACCCCCATGAATAACGTGAGGCACAAAGGGATTTCCCAAAGGTTAATGTGTAGTGTGGACTAATGCATGACCAAGTCATTGGGCCTTTTTTTTTTTTTTTTTAACAGAAAAGACGGTCTCATCAGTCGTATACTTACAAATGTTGGAAAACTTCGTATTTCCACAACTAGAAGAGCTTCAGCCGAACTAGAAGAAATTTTATGAGTTTATGTCTTTTTGCAACAAGATGGTGCACCACCTCATTGGGGTACCATCGTTCGTAGTTCTTTGAATGACCATTTTACAGGAAGATGGATTGGGCAAGGAGGTCCGATTCCTTGGCCACCCAGATCACCTGATATAACGTCGCTGGACTTTTTCCTTTGGGGATTTGTAAAGGACAACGTTTACAGGAGGAGAGTGTCGAACATTGATGACCTAAAAGCCAGAATAACAACCGCAATATCCTCTGTGGATGCCGACATGCTTGCCGATACCTGGCATGAAATTGAATATCGACTTGATATTCTCCATGCGATGAAGGGGGCACACGTGGAAGTTCATTGACAAGGGTCATGAAACTTTTTGAGTCTATCTAACCATTTATGTTATTAATTTTAATCTATCTTTATTATTTTGTGAGTTATTAAACATCAAAATGGGTCTGGGACTTTATAAACACCCTGTAGAATTCTACCAACAATTCTTCCCTGCCGAACCTATATTTTTTAAGCTTTCTATAACCTTTTCATAATTTTTCGGCAGTTGCAGGGAAGCTATTTATAATATCACGTTGTCTTGTACCGGGTACGGTCGCTTGAACGAGATAATGCATCTTATCCCCGTTTTGAATTTCTTTATCGTTATGTATTCACCGAAATTGCCTCCAAAATGTTAACCAATCTTTAACTTCGCCACCGAATTGTTTTAACTCTATTTTAGGTAATTTCAGTTTCCGTTTGTTCGAATTCGGCGGAACACTGCTAGTAGATTGTATCATTTGGCGATTGAAGAATAATTCCATTTTTGCTCGTATTAAATCTAATTTTTCTTTGTATTCTTCAACTTTCGCCTATTCCTTTTCAAACTGATCATTTGAAAAAATTCTGAATTTAATATTTGAGTATCAAATGCATTAATTTTAACAGATAAGCATTCTAATGTAACAAAGTTCGTTTTTACAGATCCTTCTTCAGGAATTTCCTTTTCTAATTCATGCAAAATTGCGTTAATTGTTCTCATAAAAGACACTCTGACAGGTTTCCGGTTCTCAATTAACGATTCCATGTCAATAAAAATAAATTCAATAAAGTCAAATAGAATTAAATTCAATAAAACCGATAAAATTACCTTGACTTGTTTTACCGATCACTTCTGTCGTCACCAAAATTGTTCGAGATTTGCAAGAACTAACCGTTCTCCTTTCTCCTAATAAACTTAAAATAACTTTACATATAAAATTCCAAAATGTCATATTTATTTTCAAAATCTGTAGAACTACAAAGATCAGATGGTTGCCACTCTTACAGTGGCAAACTATGAAAAGAAAGATAACTGAGGCTACTCTTACAGTGGCAAACTATGAAAGGAAAGGTAACTGAGGCTGGGTTCTAACACCCATAGACTTAACATTGTACAACTAATTATGTCCAATTTTTCTCATTGAATCAGTTCTCGTTATAAGCGAGTATATGTTTGTGTTCATGTAGTATGTGCTGATATTTTATTTACATTTTATGATTTCTACTGTCTTTGCATGCTTTTTATAATTAATAAATCCTCTGGTATATGAATTCTTTCAGGGAACTTCTAGTGCTGGCAACCCGCAATTTCAGCAAGAATACATAGTTAAGATGCCAAAGTAAGATTATTTTGATAAAGTTTGATTATTAAATATGATATGGATTGTTAAATGGTATGTTAAATTAGATATGTTTATTTAAAGCTGTTATTTGCTTTAAATGGGTTTGTAATTTTGTAAGATGCATTTTATGTTTTTGATTGTTGAGTTAATAATTAGCTCATGTTTTAATATAGTAAGTATAATATTTCTGATATATTTTTAAAGAACTATTTGTTTTCTCTAAGTTTATTATGTAATATTCCCATATCTGCAGGAATGCATTCAAAGATGTGTGGTATCCTTTTATCTGCTGATGTAAACCAGCAGATAAAAGTAAACATTACATAAAGCAGGGTATTCATATAACGTATATAATTAGCTTAACCCTTTGACGTGGTGATCGTGCCTTAAAACCACAATTTTCGAATTTTTTTCTCCTCTTCTTTCCAAAATTTTTGAGTGAAAATCAATTGATTACTGATCCTCTACATAACACATCCTCTACATACAATTTGATTTTTATCTCTACATAACACAAAATGACTGCAGGATCATACGTTTTAGGTCTTAGTACTTCAAATCGGATGCCTTTTAAAATTCGTTTTCAATGAAACAAAATAACTTCCTTTTATTAATATAAACAACTTTAAATTAAAAAAGTTATTCATAGCACATCATAATTTCTATCATAAACAATAAAAAATAGCAATAATTAAGCTGCATATATAAAGAAAACCCTCTATATGCATGGTATTTGCTTTGTGGTTTCGGGGCACAACCACTGCGCCATTGTGTCACAATGCTCACAATGCTCTAGAGGCTCGGTAGTTGCGCCTTGAAACCACTGCTGTTTACATTATCGTTTGCTTGCTTCTCAAACTGGAATGTTTATTTTTACCCGGATATAGATAAGGGGTTTTGAAACCACAGAGTTATTTTATTACTAAACAATACATGCACCTGCCCAGTAAAAAGGTCTTTCTTTTCCAGAGATTTTTTTCTGACTTCAGCCCACTTGCTCTCCAAGCTAGTATTGAGATTTTATAAATTATTTCCTGTGGTTTAAATTTAATGTAAATATACTTTACTATAATTAAAAATAGAAATCGCATAAAGTTTTATTTAAATTAAAAATATTTTCTGAATATTTTGGGACGAAATATGAATAAAATAAATATGAATCGGAAACAAATGATCTGTACCAAAGCCAAAATGACCAAGCCCCCCCCCCCATTAACATAAAAAACCACAGATTTCATGTGCCAGATGGAAAGAAACTAAATAACGCTGAACATATAACAGTGAAATTTAGATCCAGGCAGTGTACATTTTGTAGCAGAAGGAAGAAACCTCATAAAAGATACATGTGCGAAAAACATGCAATGTGGGTCTGTCTATGCATGTACCAAAATGACAAAACATGATTTGAAATTTGTTCTTTGATAGTTAAGCAAAAAAAAAAAAAAAAAAAACTGAGTCTTTTTTTTTTTTTATCCATTTAGCCAAATGTCCTTATTATGTGTATACTTATATTTTTACTGCTATAGAAAAATTACATAAATGTTTATTTTTTTAATTTTTCTTGACGATTTACTTTGTAAAATAATGTATAAAAAATTATATATAATGCAATTCTTTCATACATTTTTTTTAATTTGTAAATTTTGTCATTTATTGGAAACGCGCACGGAGAAAGGTAAGTTTTTTTTTCCTACTACCTCAGTAAGTTTCAAAGTCCTAGATGCACTGTGGTTTCACAGTGTGACCACCACCCACAGAACAATGGGCAAGAGTAGATTTTTTTTAATTCATATGTTATTTGTCTCTAGTATCATAATATTCAATTTCTAGAGTTTTTAGTTAAAAAAATTACAAAAATAATATCGCGCACGTCAAAGGGTTAAGTGACAAATTATGCATGGTGAGATATTATCAATATTAAATAAAATAATACTTAAGTACTCTTGTATAATATATGATAAACTGTAGTACTAAATATAATAATATAAAATTTATCACATATTATTTTTCTCATATGTATGAAAGTAAGGTTTCAGGCATTTTTAAGTTAATCATGCAGAAGACAAAAGAAAAATGATGAAATGCAGTTTTCGTACTACCTAGCTTAATATGCTGTTTCTGAGATTGTTAGAAAGAAGAATACAGTCAAAAGTCTGTAATCCAGACTTGTCGGGACTTCGGCGATTCTGGATTATCGATTTTTCCAGATTATAGATCATCAGTTTAAATCTGGTAAGATGGCATGTAGAAATTATAAAATTAAAAATATGAAACCGTAATTTATGAAATAAAGAGCAATTATGTTCTAAAGGGTATCAAAAGTTACAAAAAAAAGCTTAATATTTACTTGTTTACTTTATTAAACATTTCTTTCAGCATGCGCATGCGTTAAGCGTACATTACACATAGTCGAAATTAGAAAATTGCAACCAGAACACTATTAGATTTGTATTCGTGATATTTATAATGACGAGGAATTTGATTTAAATCATATCAAAGACGGAGTACATCAAGATGAAATACTACATTATAAGCCAAATAAAATAAAAACATCTGCCCTGTAGATAAGGATAGTGCTGACAGATCAACTTCCAGTTCATTGCGGGCTGCAACGTCCCCCCCCCCTGCGCAGTGCAGCGTGAAATTGATAAACAGATTTCGGAATGGTTAGAGAAACAAAGGAGCCTTTATCCACTTTTTGTTTGATGGACATCGAAACATGCTTTCCCTTTGTAGATCCAGCATCGGAAATTCTATTTGACATAATCGAAAGATCCATCTTACTTTTATAAAATTGCTCTAACAGACTGCAAAAAAATAATAAGCCGGTTCCAATTCGAAGATTAAGGAACAATGCAATCTGCAACATTAACTGAAATAGATAATTAGATAATTTTAGCTTAGCTTATACCGTCCATTTTACATTAAACGCGCATGCGTAAACGTATTATACACATGCATACACGCATATGCGCATGCGCAGAAAGTTTATAGCTTTGAGGTCCGGATTATAGATCATTCTGGATTATGGGTGTCCGGATTAACGACTTTTGACTGTAATCTGTAGTTGATTTTCGTCTAACTGATGTCCTACTAGTAGCTTCGAAACACTTGCAATTTCATTACTCACATGTTTTAGGCTATGTTATTTGGTAAATAAAAACTTTACTTTGACAGCTTATTGTTAATAAAAATAGGTAAATACTGGAAACGAGATGAAACCGTGTATGTTAAATCAGTTGGATGTGTAGTGGCATGACTTCATTACCTTCAGCTGATTAAAGAATTTAATTCTTTCACTACCCAAAATTTTCTGTCTTCAGAATTCCAGGTAATAGTTAAAATTTCTTTCTCCTGCATGACAGGTCTCTCAACTCTGTGTGGTGTTTTCTCATGCAACTCTGGGAGTAAATTGAGAATTAAGATTAAAATGTTAAGATATTGAGATTTCTCTGTCCACCTATATTGCAGTGGAGTAGAATGTTATATAACCAGATTTATTTTGTATAATATCCCATGAAAACTATTTTTGGAGCTGAAGATGAAGATAGAAATAAATGCATATAACTTTGTTGATGTAAAGTATATGGTGCTGTAAAATGTACACATCTAGAAGGTTTATTAGAAGAAAAGGTATTCAATTTTAAAACATGTAATTTCAAAATATTCCAAAAATTTTAGTTATCAGGACTGTTGACTTTTGAGTGTAAAAATATATTTAATATTACAAAATGTGTATTTAAACTCCTGTAATGGGGGGGGGATAAAATAACAGCTTCTAAGCTGTTATATTTCTAATCTTTATGGTAGAAAATTTATGAAAATTATTAGAACATATGATATTAATTTTCTTGAAATATTGAAGTATACTAAAATATAGAATTATAAAAAGAAGAAAGTGTTTATGAATACATTTATGTAGGTTTCTAGCCAAGTATGGTTAAAAGTGTATTTTAATTAAGGGTATTGTTGAAAACATTGGATCTAAACAAAATCAGAAGTTTTGTATTATGTAATAAGTATTAACTTTGTATTTATAAACTTTAATGGTGTATTTCCATTTTACAGAACGTATAAATTACGTATACTAAATAAATTTATTCTAGGAATAAATCAAAGCGTTTCAATGTTATGCGCTTCAGCAATTCTCACAAAGTGGACGTTGCAAAATGGACTCAGGTATTACTGAAATTTAATTTATTACATATTTAATTAATATATTTGTGTTGTGTGTTTAATTAATGTATTTGCATCGTATAAATTAGTATTGTGTATATATATGTGATAGATATAGCCAGTAAGCTGAGCAAAATGATTTTTGGTTGATGTACTTGCATGTTTTTTTACTTGTGTGACTATTTTTACTTTCTTTTTCTTAATATTTTTTAGTAGTTCTGATTATCCACATCCCCTTGAAAGGCAGCCAATTCAGTGGCAATTTTGTGAAATAGCGAAAAACATTTGTTCAGTTATGTCCTGCATGTCTTACTGATACTTTTTTATATTTTTTTTTATTTCTGTGGTAAGATTTTCTATTGGTATAATTTCCAGCAAGTACAACAATTCAATGCATGTTAAGCAATATTTCTTCCTATGTTCTTCACATAAATTTGGAATGTGTGTGCCGAATAATTTTATTTTTCTGGCAGGTAATGCAAGATTTAGCCCATTCTCTAGCATCATTTTTAATATTCTTCCAAAAGAATCTTGAAGCTATTTGTTTCACTGATGATTTGATACCATGATGGTTCAAGTCATATATTTTGTGGAAAACATTCATTTGAAATTGTGCTTTGAAGGGTCGAATATTAAGAGTTGAAGTATCACACCAGATTATTTTTCCACATGGTAGTGGATATTGTTTAAAGTTTAAATTTTTGCTTCTGTTTAGTAATTTTTATAGTTCTTCATTATTGATTAGTTCATCCACAATTTTGTCATAATTGATGTTCGAAATTGATTCAGTTTTAGACATTGAGTCTGCAATAATATTATCTTTCCCAGTTATATATTTTGTATTTGTTGAAAACAGAAAAATATACTGGATATGGCTTAATTAGCTTATTTTTAATCTAAATTAATAATTGTCTTAATTAGCTTAATTATTCAGTGGTGCTTTATCATTTTTCTGTTTAAATGCAAATATAATTGGCTTGTGTTCTATGAATATTGTAAATTCTCGTCCTTCTGTCATATGTTTAAATTGTTAGATGGAAAGGTAGGTACTTAAAAATTCCTGGTCATATGTGCTATAAGCTTTTTGAATGTCATATAACTTTTTGAAATAGAATGCTGTTTGTTTGCAATTTCCATCTTCATACTGCTGTTGAACAGATTAGAGTTCTCTGTACTTACAGCTAATGTTAGATCTGGATTTGGAAAGCAGTATTGGCTAAATTTTCTTTGCATTTTTCAAAGGACTTCTTTGCTTCTTTTGTTTTGTCTGCGGAATTTCCCTTTGATCTCTCTCTCTTTATTTATTTATTTATTTTGAACTCTAAATATTCATATAAGGGAGCTTCGTTATTAGTCGCATCCTTTAAGTATCTTCTATAAATGCCAATCATTCCTAAAAATTTATGAAATTTATGAATAGTTTCAGGAAGTTTATAATTTATTATGGTTTGTTCTTTTTCTGGAAGAGATTTTGAGCCATTTGACGGTATCAAATATCCCAAAAATTCTATTTTATTTGCTTCCATTACTGATTTTGATTGGTTGATACATAGACCATACTGTTGAACTCTGTTAAGTACTTCCTTAAGGTGTTTCTTACACTGTTCCTCAGTTTCTGGTACTATTGGGATGTCATTGAAATATGGAAAAGTAAAATAGTCCTCTGATAACTCTATTAAAGGGCCTTTGAAAAGTGGAGAGAGCATTTCTTATGCCAAAACTCATTATTTTAAATAAAAAAAGTCTAGATGGTATTACTGTCGCTGTTTTTTGTTTACTTTCTACTGCTATTAAAATTTGGTAATAGGCTTTAGGCAATTCATGTTTAGAAAATGTATTCTTCCTTTCGAAAAAAGATTGAAGTCTTCAAAAATGGTTAAAGGTGCAGTGATCTAACACCATGATATTATTTAAGCAGTGGTAATTCTGCATGGTCTGAGTGTGTCATCTTTTTTTGTGACTAAATGAAGTTAGCTTGCCTTATTGATTTTGAAGGTCTTATAATATTGTTTTCAAGCATAAAGCTAAATTCTTGTCTGGTTATTTCTAAACTTCTGTTTTGCTTTTGAATAAACTGGTTTGCCATAAATTGCTAGATTAATGTTCTTTTTTTTTTTTTAAATTAGTAAATTAGGTTTTGTTATTTGCGAAAATTGTGCCAAAATATTAAAAAATTATAATTTTTGTTTAAGGCGCTTCCATTTGATTCAGTGGCTGATGATGTAATTTCATGAATAATGCTGAGTTTAGTTGCACCATCATTTAGTTTTCTGTTTTTAATATCAATCAATAAATTAAACCGGTTAAGAAAATCTGCATCCAAAATGCCTTTACTGACTTTGGCTATGATAAATGGCCATTGAAAATCATAGCGAAGTTCCATATCAAAAGTTAAAATTTGATATTCAAAACACAGGATTTCAGTATCATTTGCAGCATAAAATTTAAAGCGGCCACTTATTTTGTCACTACAATGGCTTTAATTAGACTTACATTCGCACCACTGTCAACCAAATATTTTATCCTCTTTTTTTTTTTTTTTTTTTTTTTTGTCAATTACGAAAATTCTGTATTTGAAGATTTGGGTGTTCTTTGAAGAACCTTCAGAGTTGTGTGTAGTGGTGGGTGTAGCACCAAGGTTTTCTGTTCCAGAAGTAAAAACTTCACCAAGTTGAATAATTTAACATAAAATTTAATGAGTCTTCTATCCTTAAGATTTAACAACATAGATAAACATACGTGTCAGACTTTGACACATTAATGAACTTATACGATGGATAACATACGAAGTGTACTAAATTGGTACGATGTGAATTGATCCTGCTTAACAGTTCTTTTCACATAGGCAGGTATATGGCGATATAGATAGATGATGTGGAATGCTTGAGTAGATTCTTATTTCCAATGAACTGTTCCTTAGTAGGGCTCCTTGCATCATGTTTCTGCACCACGCTTAAGAGAAGCACAGCGACTGGCCACGCCATCAAATAGGTGTAGCAGGTAGTAATAACAGAATAAAGCATTTTATAAGAAAAAAATTTTATGAGGAAAAACCAAAACCTGTGTGGCTGATATTTATATTTTTAGTTAGTACATAATATTGAGTAATTATTATTAGCTATGTTTTATTATGAACACATGTTTAGTATGCACAGGCAAGCATTGTCTATTGTCAAACGAATACCTGATAATATGCCCAAAATACAGCAGTTCTACCTATTGTTGAAATGGAGGTGCAAATAATGAGAAAGTTCTGAAAATAATTTGACCATTAATTTCAGTGTATACAAGGCAAGGTTTCATTTTATTATTTTATCACATTTCATGTGTTTCAAAATAGCAATAAATTTTTAAAGTTATGCATTTTGTTTTAGATTTTGTAAGCTTATATTGGAGCAATTTATGTGACATGTGTATATATATCACACTAATTCGTGCAATATAATTACTTTTTAATTAAATATTTTTCAAGTGTTGATCTGTCAGTGCATGTATGTATAACTTTTAGGTACTTTCCCGTTTCACCGGCGCAAATCCGCCAAACAGACTTTGTAGGCAACAGCATACAGTATACACATAAAAAATTTTAGTTCTAAGAATTTTTTTTTGAATATAAACTATTAATACAATTAAAATTGTTAAAAGCCAATAAATTTGTAAAAAGACATAATTAAGAAGTTACTTGCTTTCTGGTCAACATCCTGATTCGCCGTTCGTATCACGTGACACAAAGTGATCTCATCTCACGTAAACTACGCTACAAAAATATAATTCTTACAGTACTTATCTACATTAATTTCAAGTTAAATCTTAGTTTGGAATATATGTTTAAATGCAAGAATTATTTCAATTCATATGAATAGCTTACTCAATTATGTAAAACCACAGTGCTTTACTTCGCTAGTGCATTCTCATTAGAATTCATGAATTTAACCCTTAATTTTGCCTTTCCCATATTTTCGCCTTCGGGTGAGCAGTGTGATTGTATCCTAATTGACTTAATTACCACAAATGGTCTTAGGGTATATAAAACTGAACTATCTGGTAAAAATTCTATGCAATTGTAAACCAGTAGTGAAAGAAACAATCAATCTGATAAGAAATGGCTGTGACTTGTTTTGAAAATGAAGCGTGAAAGGTTACCAGCAAAGACATTCCGTTTAGCATCAGTTGTACCATTATTGGCAACTTTATTGTTTGCGCCAGCAAAACGGAAAAGTACCAATTTTTATTACTACATTTAAAACTTCAATAAGTCTGACAAGAGACAAACGTCTAACTATTACTACAATAAATTTTTTAACATCTCCAGAAAATTTTGTGTGTATTGATTTAGTACGTAAGGAAAAAAAAATGAATTGTGTACTTTTAGATTTTTCACACTCTGAAGTTGCCAATGAGTATTAGCGACTTTGAGATTTACAAAAAATGTTTGTTTGGGTTTCTTTATGGTTCATAATTACTGTTTCATTCATAAATAATGATAAAATTAAGCATTTGAAAAAATAAAGGAAAGAAAAACTGTATAGCTAATGGTTTCTGTTCAATAAAATGATGGCTAAATATATTTGATATAAATCTGCATACATGTGTGTGAGTTGGCTGTTGTTGCATGTGTAATTCGAAAATGTGCCAGAAACATGGTAGTTCAACCAAATGTTGAAATGCAGTTTGAATAATCAAAGCATTTAATTTCTTTGTGAACAAAATTTCATTAATATAGTTTTAATAATTAATTTTCTATGTATAAAATGTACATACATTTTTAACACTGTGTCATTATTTATATAGTAATTTTTTAGCAAAAAATACATTCCACTCATGCTCAGAAAATTATAGATTAATTTTATTTTATTTAATATGCCAATCTTAAGTGTATATATGTTTCTTTATTCAGAACCACTTTTTTGGCCTTGAATAAAGAAACTTCTGTGTACTTAATATTAACTAAAATTGGATCACAAAGTTGCCAATTTAGGCATCTATATTTTTAAGATTTTTTATGTGTATTTGTTATTTATTTGTTTTTTGTTATGGATGCATATTACAACAGCATAAGCAAAATGTTATTTACTTTTGTTTTATGCTTCCTTTTTAGCATTTTCATTGGAAAACTTGCTTCATAGGTTTAGTTATGTTAAATTAAGTAGCTTTCAATTTAATATTTTATATAAAAAGCAAACTATATAACATATAAGGTGGCCAGCCTTAATATATAATATTCATTTTATTTTGTCACTTTTGTTTTAAAATGGTCTTATTTTTAAGGTGAAAATGGAAAGAGAAAATAATTTAAAAGAGTTCAAAGCTGATGAAGATTTACCAAAATTTGGTGCTGGAAGTGAATTTGGGAGGGAGCAACGAGAGGAGTCTCGGCGTAAAAAGTATGGAATTGTGTCAAAAAAATATAATCCTGATGACCAGCCATGGATTTTAAAACTTGGAGGAAAAGGTGGAAAAAAGTAATGTTATATTATATTCTATTGCAAAAATCTGTTTATGTTTACTTGTCCCTAAAGTGGCTATAAACTGGTAATTTATTTTGCCTTCAGTGTAGTGTGGTTAAATAGGCTGGCTCTGGAATTTTCATGATTCACTTGTGTATGCTTATGTAATTGGATCATTTAAGGATGCCTCCTGTCTCTTGTTTTGGTTTCATTAATGCTGAAATGCCTACAACAATTTTATATTTGCAGAATAACAAAATTATTCAAGATTGATTTATTTACAGTAATGGTACCTATTACCAATATTATAGTATTTCTCTTAGAGGCAGATTCTTCTGAGCCATCTTATCAACTCCTGAACCACTGAAGCATTAATAATTAAGCATTTTTCAATGAAAAATATATTTAAATTAAAACTGTATGTCCCATGTCTAGAACATGAAAAAATTAGGAAAAAAACTTTGAAGTCAAGATATATTGTTTTCATGTAAGAGAAACAATTATCTTTAAATAACAGAAAATTTTAAAGCTCTAAAAAGGAATAATGATGCTTCAGTTTAGGGTTCTGTCTCAACTGAAAGATTCCAAAAAATCAGAGTTAAGAAAAATGGCTAAAATAGTGTATTAAAGTATATGGTTAAATTAGAAAATAGAACTTTTTCCAGAATGTCAAGGAGGCAAAGGAATGAAGATCATTCCTCTTAAATTAACTAATATGCAACAAATAAAAATTAAATTAATTTCTGTAAAAAATTTTCAGTTAATTTCTTACAGAGAAAGTAACTATAATTTTTTTTCTTGCAGAAAGTATTTTATTCAATTTTTATCTAATATAGTTTTTTGTAGCAGCCTTGGCACAATTTGGGCTTCAAAAAGCGCATTTTGATGCCGAAAGTTATAAACATCCACAAAAGCAAAATTGACTGCAGTTAATAATAAATTAGCAGTTCATTCTTTATCTATACAAAAAGTTATTTAATATGTACCACAGTACCCTGAAAGGAATTAACATATACTTATTATAGAGACAGATCGGTTGCACACCAAGCATTTCATGTTAAGTATTTCTTGCTACATTATACAAAAAATACTATAATTTGACATATAATTTCACTTAAGTTATTTACATATATGCAAAATCCCTAATGCTATATATGCAATCATGATGTAGACTTAGATGCAATAATGTTGCAGAAATATTGATCCCTAATGGACAGCAAACTTGTCAACCGAGGCAGATTAAATAGTAATTTTTGTTTCATTTGGCTTTTGTGGCCACAATTCCTTTGGCACTCTAAACGTGCCTAATTCCAGAATATTTACGTTTTTGATATTGTTATTATAAGAAGAAAGCAGCTGTCTGCATAAGCCAAGGTGCAGAAAACAAGCTCATAATTTATCTAATATGGCAGCGTATTAAGAGAAAGGTTTCAGATTCAGAAATTTTGTGTTCAGATTCCAAATTTAAATCTAATAATAAATAAATAAAAAATCTAAACATATCTTGAGGACATATCTAATACATATAAGATAAATATTTGCCAAATTCATTAACATGAGGAGCTAAAATTTTGTGAAAGCTAATATGTTAAAAACTAACTCGTACGATTTTTAAAAACTTGGTATTCTGGCAAAATTTGAGTAGTAGAATCGAAATATGGAAAATATTGGAGTATTCAGAAAAAGCCGATTTTGTCAAATACTAGTTAGAATAGGCATATATAAATCTAATATATAGCTAGGAACGATTTCGAGACTGAAAAACGCAATTTGAATTTGTCAACGACCCAGTTTTTGATGTAAAAAAACGGGGGGGGGACAGTTCTATATCTCGCGTCTACGGGCCGACTCACGAAATTCAAATGCTTCTTCAGTCGCGAAGGCAGACTACGTCTATATAGATTATATAGAGCACTATCTAAATAGGATTGACACAAAATGGACTTATTCTGAAGTCGTAAAATAATTTTTTTTTTCCATACTTGATTTTGTTCAAATTGTTAAAGAAATTTTTAAGTTTGGTTTGTAAATTATGGAGAAATTCAAAAATTTAACTTGCCGCATTTTTTTAAGGTGTAGCCAAGAATATTTATTGGGAACTCTTAATAATGGCAACCTATTTCCTTCCCTTCCTCCTTGTGGATGAGTAGAAAAAAAAAGTCAATTGATTCTACTTCAAGTAATTTAGCAAGTGTGAAATCACTTTTTGATTATCACTTTCACAAATATGCCAAATTCAAAACCGCCAAAAAAATTTCACGTAAGGGGGGGTGAAACGCTCCCAAAAGGGGAAAAAAATAAATGGGGGAAGGGATTTTAAAAAAGAAAGGAAATTAAAAGGGGAGGAAGTGAGAAGGAAAAGGATTTAAAAAAAAAAAAAAAAATCAAAAAAATGGCTGTGAATTTTAATGGTAAAGAACCGAAATTTCAATAACATTGAGGAGCTAAAATTTTGAGAGCTAATTTTTAAAAAACTCCTGTGCGATTTACAGAATTGGGAGTTTGGTCGTAATGTGAGTCGAAGAAGAAATCTGGAAAAAATTTTGGACATGCATTTAGAAAAAGTCCGATTTTGTGTCAAAATACCTATATTTGAGCATGCTATATAAATCAAGAATATCTGGTTGCTCTCGAGACATGAAAAACACAGTTAATTCTCATTAACCCCAGAATGTCTTTTTTTTTTTTTTTTTTTCTTCTTCTCATAGTGTATATTTTCCAAAGCTCAGAGATGAGGAGAGGAAAAAGTCTAAACCACATTTTGAACATTTTGAAATCTGGCTATAATACTTGATTCTTAAAAGCTGAAAGTATATATTTTTCTGTACTCCCTGCATGAGAATCACAGTATGTGTATTACTCCTTGCGTCCTTTCCTTAGGGAGGATTCAAGCAGTGACAGCACGTGCCTGCTGTCTCCCCTAGGTATATTCCTAATATTAAAATTTTTTCAATGAGAGTCGGGTATGCTATGAACTGGTTGAGTATTTTCACCATTCACATTCCTCTAGCCATAGTTTTAGCAGAAAGTACTACCACTGGTACACACATGTAAATTTTACTATCATCTTCATAGAATAAGGTAAAATTTTATTCACTACATTTATAAAATCCAACTTGAGTATACAAGCTATTCATCTTAATTTGAATTTGAATTTTTGTATGTAGTTATGTTTCAGTCATGTTACGTTGAAGAAATGTATAGCCATACTTCATATTAATAGCTCTGCTATATTCATACAATGTTAAAGGCCAGTTACCATGATGAGGAATGGAAGTTTTAACTGCCATTGTATTTTAAGCATTCCACAATCATTAGCAAGTAGTTACACTTATTTGTTTGTAGAAGAACTGGCCATTTTTTTTATCAAAGTTTATTTTGTTATTGTTTTGTATTTGTCAACTTTTTTATGTTTGTTAATTTCTAAAGTACATTTTAGATTGCTTTATAATAAGGTAATTTGGATTATTTTATAATGAGTAAACAATTTTAATAGAATTCCATGAATATGTAAAAGAAAATTTTGGTTTTATATTGATTGTAAGAGTTTTAATAAAACACTCTCATATTAAAGATATTTAAACAAAGATTTTCAAAAAGTCTGAATTTTACAATTATTTCTTGAGAAAATTCAAACTCCAAATTTAGGGCAATTTTTATAATATTTGGAGAGAACATTTAAAGAACTTTAAAAACTTATAATTTTAGAGAAAACAAAGTTACAGACATTTTGAAATTCAACTGGACATTTAGTACTACTCAACATTTGTGTAGCATATTACAAAAGTATTTTAAGAACATCATAAATATTTGAAAAATTGAAACTGTAAACAATATAAACTAATTTATATTTTCACAGAAGGAAAGCTAAAAAGATGATGAAAACTCAAATTTGTGATCTATAAAATTTTGAGGCATGTTTCTAAAGAGAAATAGGAAAATTTGTATGCACTAAACTAACATAAATTCATAGAATGTTGTAAGCTAAAATAATAAATATAAAATTTTTGAGAATTATAGCTTTTGAAATTTACTTGAATTTCTTTGTTTTTAATTCAACTTATAATTTCTATAGATTCTTAAAACATTATATTGTGTGCAAATAAAAATTACATTGCAGTAAAATCTTAAGGTATTTTTATGTGTCAGTGCTTATAACTTGCCTTCAGAATCGGGGTTTAATGCGAAGGATGTGCATATAATGAAAATACTTGTATAAAAATTCTATATATTGTATGTATTAAAACATAAAAAATATATGATTTCATATATTAACTTTAAAAATTAGTTAAAAATTTAAAGAAATGTTTTATTTATTTTATTATTTATTTATTTTTGGCTAAGTGTAATTGAATATATCTGTTAGATAGCATTATATTATAGTCATTTATTGTTTATTGCGTTTAATCTTGTTTTCTGTTTTTCGTCAATTTAATTGTAATTTTATTTATTTATTATCATGTTGATGTAGGTACAAAGATTCGTGAAGGAGGTGTACCGAAAAATGCTTTACTATGTTTTACCAGGATGCTGATGGAACTTTGCGCATATATGTAGAAGAGTGGTATAATTTTACACCAATTCAACGTTACAAAGCATTAAGTGCAGAGGAGGCTGAAGAAGAATTTGGAAGGTGATTCTGAATTCGTAGTTTTTTTTTTTTTTTTTTTTTTTTTTTTAAGTATTCAGTGGTTTTATTTTGTACATGCTAATATATCATTAGGTCTGCAGTTTGTGATATGATATTCTGTATATCTGTTGTAATGTAAGAACCATTATATAGTGGTCAGAAATTCAGGACGACTTTAAAAAATACTATGAGAAAATGCAGTTTAGTGCTAAATCTTATTGTTTGAATATCAATGTGTTGAAAGAAGTTACACATAAACTCAGTGCTAGGACTGTGGCAGGGCAATACAGTGTCATAGTGGGATAAGCAATCTGGTTTTAACAAAAGTTCTGCTACTGCAGATATCAGCTGCGTGAACAGTTCACATTGGCGTATTTAATCACCTTTTG